TCTTTTTTAAAGACAAAAATTTTTGAGGCGAAATACCCAAAAAGAAGTTTGTAAAAAATGAATCCGCCTCAACAATATAGAACTTATCTACAAGAATGTTGTAATGTAATTTTTAAATCTTCAAAGTCGTTCTACGCTAGAGTGAAAAAGTATGCTTTACAGTTGAAAACCAAAAAACATTTTGTTAATCAACTTTACATTTACAACGATACATTTTTAGGTGGGAATTATCGTACCAGTTGCGAGTGGAGGGTCGCAATTCTGTGGCGCTTCTCTCATCAACACCATGAATATTTTGACTGCCGCTCATTGCGTTGATGTGTAAGCAAGTAGCAAAATGTATACAAATATGATGAACATAAAATATATGTTTATGCCACTTGCAGGTTATCGGGTAATCTAACAGCTTATTTGGGAGCCCACAACATGCTGCCTACAGAAGCAGAAAATGCAACTGTGCTGCAAACAGATGAAGTCGTAGTTTATCCACTGTGGAATCGAAGCATAATCCTGAACGATATAGCTCTAATTCATTTAAAAGAACCAGTGGAGCTAACTGGTAAGGGGTTTAGATAGTAACTTGAATCGACCATAAATCAGCTGATGATTACAGCAAATATTCAACCAATCGAAATACCCGAAGACGATTCCCAAGACTACGCAGGCGAAACAAGTTTGGTAACAGGATGGGGCAGACCATCAGAAACTGTAGCGGGCATTTCCCCAGTCCTAAACGAGCTAACTTCACATGTTATGAGCAATTATCCTTGCAGACTGGCCTACTTGGGTTACGTTGAAGATAGTAATATCTGTATGTCCAGCTATCTAGGCAATGCTACTTGTAGTGGCGATTCAGGAGGACCTTTGACTGTAGATGGAGTGCAGGTAGAATAATTAGTTGGTTAGCTGATGGTTGATAATCCACAACCTAAATTCGTAGGTTGGAGTCGTATCGTTTGGAAGTGGTTGGGGCTGTGCTCAAGGCTTTCCGTCAGTTTTTGCCCGAGTCACTTACTACCTGGACTGGATCAGGGAAAATCTGAAAGCTATTCCAGAAACAACTACTAGCACGAGCACAACAGAAGCAACAACCAGCACCGCCAGTTCATCAACAACTGCTACTAGTTCAACAGAAGATCCCTCATCTACCACTAGTTCAACAGAAGATGCGTCTTCTACTACCAGTTCATCAGACGATGGTTCAACGGAAGCCACATCAACATCTACAACCAGCACTTCCGATGATGGGTCATCCACTACGAGTTCAACAGAGGATTCAGCATCGACTACTTCTTCTACATCTACAACCAGCCCTGCAGATAACGCATCTACTACTACGAGTTCAACAGAAGCTCCGACATCGACTACTGCATCCACATCTACAACTAGCTCTTCAGATGACGCAACATCTACTACTAGTTCAACAGAAGCTACGCCATCGACTACTGCATCCGCATCTACAACTAGCTCTTCAGATGACGCATTATCTACTACTAGTTCAACAGAAGCTACGACATCTACTACTGCATCTACAACTACTACCAGTCCATCTGACGATGCCTCATCCACTACCAGTTCAACCGAAGACGCATCAGCGTCTACTACAAGCTCAACGGAAAGTACATCTTCTATTGCCAGTTCCACATAAGATGAGTCTTTATCACCTACAAACACCTGTTCAGATGATGCATCATTCACTTCGAGTTCAACGAAGGTACAACAGCGATTTCTGTATCAACATCCAGCATTGGTTCAACGGAAGATGCATCATTCATTCCCAGTTTAACCATAGATTCATCTTAGATCACCACCACCATCAACTATCAAAAATTTGTTATGGTATATACATATAAGTAGTAGGTTTGGGAGTTTCTAGAAATTTATAATTTCGACGATTCAATTTAAATAAGTGTATTTACAAATGAAATGAAATAAACTGATTTAAACACGTGGCCTGGGTGTTTTAATTGAATTATTATAAATACATTTTGGACAACTTTTTTCATTGCTCCTGTCTAAGGATTGATACCTAACAAGATGAGTTCTAAATCCTCTACTTTCTAGTTCATCATAAACAGGGTGTTTTTCTAATACGATTTGCTCAAATACATTTTTTAACGTTCCTCTTAACGGAGGTGTAGGTATTCCCTCAAACGGGAATCTTAACATTTTTCTTCCAAGTTCTAACTTTTGAACAACGATAACGATATTTTCAGTTTTTTAATAATTTTCCAGTTTTAGCAATTACTGTTTCTTCTTATCGCTCCTTTTTCTAATGTTTTACGCAAAAATACTGGCAATCTAATGATTTTTTCCGCGAAAAATTTTAAAACAAATTTTATTACAACTCTCGCCTCCTTTGTCGTTTCGTAAAAAGTATTGAAATCTCTTTCCAGTCTCAAATTTAGGACAAAAATCAACTAATTTTTGATTAAAAAGCGAACAGAATATAACAGAAAGTTTATATAGTGGATTTTTAGTTTTAATCGATTTTTTTTGCTTTACTTTATATTCAAAAACGCACTATTTTATAGAGTTTCACTTACAAATACTGACAGTCTGTGGGTATTTTACGCGAAAAATTACAAGATAAATTTATAGCTGAAGGAATTAAAAAAAAACCTTTGACCATCATAGAGTCTTTTCAGCCAAAAACGACAATTAGCCAATTAATTTTATTAGAAAATTGGCCTCATACATCGCTGTGCAGGAGATTTTAGAAAGGCCTTTTGAGCTTCGAATTTGGACCAAAACCCAAATAATTTTATTTACTTTTTTCCCAAAGTAATTAAGGTTATCTTGAAAAAACGACCAGCGAGTAAAAGTTTACAAAAAATTGTTTGGAAAATTCGCTACTCTCATCGCTCTGAATAATTTTTAATAAATGATATTTTTAATATATGAAATCTGAAATAATTAATAATAAGTTTATTTAAAATTTGAGGTTTTTCCAATTTTAGCAGAGTTTTTTTTGCTCAACACTCAATCACTGACAATATTCAGGTATATTCTGTGAAAAATTATCAAATATACTGTATTGGAACAGTCCCCTTCTTAACCGCGTTGTGAAGATTTTTTATAAACTTTCAGAGATATATTGAGAATAAGGAAAATGCAATTGATTAATTGCAGAACATAACATCTCTACAGAAAACGATGTCTTTCTTTCGGATATAGAAATGGTTTCGAAATGTTACCTATCGAGATTCTATATTTAATTTGATTTATTATCACTATGTTCAAATAGGAGATTTTAGTGGTTTCTCGATTGTAAAAACAATTCAGAAGTCTTCTTGACAATCAACAAAATTAAGCTTAAAAATGACTACTATCTAAATATGAAATCATTTGATTATACAGATAATTGCGCTGTTAATTTTCTTATCAGTTAGCGCGATAAAACAACATCTTCATTTCATAAATATGTGAGAACTGCTCAAATACTAAAGGTGTGCGCTTTGCCGTGGAAATAATTAGGTATATGTTTTGGAATTTTGTATATTTTTGTTGGACAAAACCCCACATTAATTTTAATCTTTCATTTAAACGATCACTTTTATATGTTATGTAGCTTTCGATGTATTAATTGATAATTAATACCGGCTGTCTTAGAGTTAGCGATGGGTTAGATAACTAAGTCAAATCGGCTTAAATGTCGAACTATAAAAGCGAACTCAAGACGAATTCATGGACAATACGTAAATATGGCTTCAGCTATAATACTATGTGTAGTTGCGTTAGCTTCAGTGGTGGCTGCTCAGCTTTTGGTAAGAAGCATGTGTTATTGGTGCTTTAACTAACGTCGACAGTCTCACTGGACAAATTCTTGTATTAAACGATTATTTAACAGACTGCGGAAGAACTTGCAAGCGCAGTTCCAGCTCATTTGGAATTGGATCCAGAGTTCCGTAAACTGCATCCAAACATACCTGGACCATCTGAAGATGTAGATTCTTTTATAGTTGGAGGTGTTGAATCAACTCCACATTCAAGGCGCTATCAGGTTAATTTCACTGTGTTACTTTTTGTCTTTCCGACTTTCCGCTGCTGAATTTAGGAGGTTTTTGAATAAACTTTCTGATAATCTTCAGGTGGGAATTTACATTCCGGTTTCAACAGCAGGAAATTCGTTTTGTGGAGGATCTCTGATCAATGCCCGTACAGTTGTTACTGCAGCTCACTGTGTAGATATGTGAGTATGAGTTTGAATATTTCTTCCTTATAATTTAATTTGCATTTTTTGGCATTTTTAGTCGCGTGGGAAATCTCTCAGTTTACATGGGAGCTCACAATATGCCACCGGGCGGGGATTTGAATTTCGTAGCAAGATTTGCAGGGGATGTAGTTATTCATGAGGGTTGGAATCGGTCCATTCTTCTACACGATATTGCTCTGATCAGATTTGAAGTTGCAGTACCGTTAAGCGGTAAGTAGCATACTTTTCTAAAAAGCGACCGAGTAAAGCTCGAGGATGAAAGCAAAAAATACAAGAAAACATGAATGAAGAATATATTGAATCACGATTCGACTGTTGATCGTAACCAGTCGCCAAACTTTATTAAATAGCTAGCGGCGGCTAGCGTTTCATATTTTATCACGATCTTTGAAAATATTTTCATATACATTTTTTTTGAGTGCCACGCCTTAATGTCATATTATTAAAGGATGTTAATAAGAAATCAGTCACTTAAAAATCTTTAAAATTTGCAACTTTCTTTATCGTTTGTTTCTCAAAATCTCTCTCGTTCTTGCCCATTTTGCTTCAGATGAATTAGCAAAAACGAGACGAAAAACGTGAAATTTTGCCATAATCGTTGCATCTGAGTGTCTGAAAGTAAAATATCGCTTTCTGGGTAAAAACTATTCGAATTTGCCCACTCATGTTGCAATGGCTGGATCGAATTTTCAATTCTCTATCCAACGATGACAAAACAAAATCTGTGGCTCAAATTGGCTTGAGAAACGAAAAAGACAGCATCATGTTTGAATCGATATCTTCTCTGTTGATGTCGGATTTCTTGAATATTTCAAGTTTATCATGCTTAACACAAGCACAACATATGAATGAAACAAAATGATGAAACAAGTATAGGTATAGGTATATAAGTAACGTTAGCATGTTAGCTTGTTTCCATCTTTTAACCCTTGATTCTATACGTATATTAACAGCGTTGTTTGCGTTTCTTAAGATTGTTGCAGGATATTTTTCACGTGTATTCGGCATTTCCTTAACTTTTCGATGTATGTTAAGAGTATCATCTTTGTTGAAGCACTTGAATTTCGTTACATTTATCAGAGAGCCAAGATTCTTTTGCTGCCAAGATTTTTTTCGAATTATTGAAGTGATAACTTTTTATGGGAGGGTGAACCGATTTTTCTCGGTCACGGCGGCTCCTACTCAGGCCTCTTCGCGCCTGAGGCCTGAGGCTCAGGACGCACATATGTACTTTGAATTCGAAATTTTTCTCTTAGTGCGGGTGCATCTGTAGATCTGATAAACTTTTCAAATACACATTGCGTTATTAAACTGACAGTGATTTTGATTT